ATATGTGTCTACAGGCACAGTGAGACGTCAGTTGAGATATTAACAGTGATCATCTTTAGGTTGTGGCACTTAGTGCAATTTTTCAGCTGCCTTTTTATATCATTTAAAACAAATATGTATTGTTTTTAAATAAGAAGGTTATTTTGAGAACAATGGAGAATAGAGCACATGCATGCAAAAAGAGATCTAAATTCTTATGATATAAAGACTAGCTTTCAATATCTCCACAGTCTAGTAAGTAGGGTGGGGTAGATACGTAAACCATTATGAAGGGTAGGAAAGTGTAGTATGGGCTATGACCTAAGTCAGTAAAGACTTGTGGGGCCCAAGGGAAGGACTGGGCGATTCTAGAACAACAGGTGGGCATGGAAGGGTGTCCAGGAAAGGTAATACAAAAGAGCAACAAAGGCATGGGGCCATGAGGCAGCAATGAAGACACAGGGAAAGTGCAGCTCATGGATTGTCCCAGGGCAGGAGTCATGAAGGGCCTGTTCTGCTATACTGGGGAATCTGGGCTTCATCCCAGAAAACGGGAGCAACTGATGAGTTTTAAGTGGGGGCTTAACCATATCTAGGAGGTCCCTGAGATTCCTTCTGAAGTCAGCTTGTACAAATGTTATTCAACTGTTTTCAAAAGCAATACAGAATAAGTTTACTTTAATGCAAGTTAAATAAGTTCTAGCTCTAATGTACAACAATGTGACTATAATTAACAATACTTTATTGTATACTTGAAATTTGCTAAGAGGGTAGATTGTAAGGGTTCTCACCACACACACACACACACACACACACACACACGAAGTGTTAACGACTTGAGGTGGGATATTAGTTATTAATTAGTTTGATTATGGTAATTATTTCATAATGTATATGTATATTAAATCAGCAAATTGCACACTTAAATATGTATAATCTTTAATTGTTAAATATACCTCCAGTTAAAAAAAAAGTTTATATAATGCTCCACTGCAGTCATTCATACATACACACACACAATCTCTATAGCAAAAACTTTATAAAATAATATTCACCCTTAGTGTACACATTGCACTCTGAATATTTTTGTTCTATTCCATGCTATTTTTTTAAAAATGCTGGTTCCAATGCATCAAATTGGTTTAACAATCTGTAGGGTCAAAATAAAAAATTTGCAAAGCACTGATTTAGGGCAACCCCACGTCCAAGATGCTCAAGTGACTTTTTTGCAAGGTTCATAGTCACAGGAAGAGTAAAGTCTAAAACCCAGTCTCCCAATTCCTATGTCAATAATCTCTCCCAAATCTGTGCTGTTGTCTTCACCATTAGCTGGTGGTACTAAAAAACAGCTTTTGTATTACCATAACAGACAAACTTCTTCAGAGTGCTGAGACTCCAGATCAAAACATAATGATATTCAAAATAATCTAGTTTCATTGTTGATATGGAAATTTTAAAACATGCCATATTAGACTACAAGCCTTATAAACAAACGGCCATCCTTTGCCCATTCTTAGCCCATAAAGATAGTGCTTTAGAATAGACAAACATGATGTCTCATAAAAATTTCAC